AAAACAACGACATCCTAAGCATAATAATAAGTCTTGCCACTACAAGTTTATTTTTTCTGGTAAAGTTTGTTTCTGTTTGATCAGGGCCAATGATGAAGAATATGGACAAAGCATTAGGAGAGTTTTTATTATACTAATCATTGGGAAGCACCTTATATTATGTTGCTGGGTGACATCTTTTGAGGTTGTTGAGGATCAAGTGCTTTGCCTTTCAAAACAATGGACATGGACAGTACAGATACAAAGTCGAAAAGTATATTGATACAATTCTTTAACAGTTATTTGCTGGTTAACAGAGTAAAAATGCCAGAACAAATACTTGAAACAACATTTAAACAGTACAATGGCCTACACCTGGCAGAGATCTAAATGCGACTGAATGTATATGAAACAAACTTTTATGAATGGCAAATGGCTAATGAGTCCCATACTGTATGTCTAATAACCAAGGACCATATACATGTAGCAGGGAGGGAAATCTTCAGTAGTATGAGGTCTTCATTCAGAATCGCCTTCTCAATGTCGTAAGGCAGTCCTTGCTAGCATGATAGATCACACTCATTATTAATCCATAATTGAACTTTTTGGAGTGGAGCAATTGACAACACATAACAGTAACCGAAACTGAGTGTCATAGTGACTCAGAAGACTTGCATTACCATTTAGGACTAGAATTTGGGTCTCAAGTGGTATATATATATAAGCATATATACATACATATATAAGCATATATATATGCTTCCAAAAAGGTATTGTCACAAATGGGTGGTTACAAAACTGGTAAAAATCAGGAACTGACAGAGTGGTTTAGTCAAACAGTGAAATAATTATTCATCACAGCCAACTTGTAAGTGATTTCTATACCCAAGCGGCTGGTATAATTAGAGCCACGTGAATTCTTTATTCTCTGGCACAGCTATATGGAGTAATAATCCAGGCACACTTGGCTAAAACAAAAATGTATTTCCATAAACTACACAAGACACAAAACATACAACACACTAAATTATATTTTATTGTTGCAAATGGGGCTGGACAGATATTCTAAAACAATGACACAACACACAACAAAACATGTTACTTTAAACTGTGTATAGTATTTACAGACAAGGTGTTTCTCAGGCCTAACATTCTGGTCACCCAGAAAACCCCAGGCTGCTACTAAGCACTAACCTCTTTATATGCCTACAGAGGCCACACAAGAGATGAGCTCCCTCCTAACTAAATACAAAGCAACCTCCAGTTAAATCTCTCTTTCTGTACCCTGGTTGCCACAAAATAAATGGGAGCTTATATCCCTATCCATTAAATGCACCCTAACAGGAAAGACATTTCTAACTGAGGTACCCGGAATCCCAAGTTCCCTAAAAACACAGAATAGCATGCTCTCTTTAACAAGGTTCAAATACTTACAGTAGCTCTAGGCAGGTCCAGTCAAGAAGTAGGGACTCTTGCTTCAAGTCCCAACTCCTCTGGACTCACTCTTCCCTACTCTCCTTGTTTCTTCCTTCTTCCTCCTGTTTCTTTCTCTCCTGTACTCTTAAGGTGAACTTATACTGTGTCTTTCTGCCCTGCTCCTTTGAAATCATTAATCCACAACTTGCCTAGGCATACTAATGCAGGGGTCATACTACACAACTTTTCCTAGGATTTTCAGTCGTAGCCTTCATTTACATAATGGCAAAAATAATCACAGCCAGTTGTAGAGAGTCGCAGTGCGCTCCCGTTACCGTCAGTTGTGTAGTGTGACCCCCCAGCGACTCAGTCATAGCGCTCTTAACAGCCCCTATGACTCTCCGCGACTCGCTACGATCAAGTCAAACTGGTTTGATTTTCTCGTAGCAAGTTGCAAGTCGTAGGGGTGGGCAGTGAGCCAAATGTGTACTTGTGAGATAATGTACCTATTATATTACACGTTATAGCGCAATACTAATTGGTTTACAATATTTGTTTTAAAGGTGTTTTACATTTTTAACTGTTTTATTGAGGCGGCCTCGCAGTACTTTCGCGGTGCAATACGAGATTTGGAACCGTGATGAAAGGTCGTGAGGGAATCATGTACTGTAGTCACCCCCTGCGATTCTTAGTCGTATAATTTGACACCCTCTAGGACAGAAAAGGCAGCGAGATTCAGCAACTGCAGTCGTTAAATTTGACATGCTCTCCAAATAGACGTCATGTCGAGTCGTGTAGTGTGACGCCGGCTTAAGATAAACTTTATTATTGTTTCTGCTCACAGGACCACCCCCAGACCTCAGCAAACATGCTCTCTGCTTTGAATTTAGAAGTGTTTACTCTTCCCAGTGTCACAGACTTTATCTAAAATCTAAGAGACATTTCCTAGTCACCCAAAGCTGTAACAGTATTGATAACAGTTTCTAAAAACAAAGTTGTGCATTTGTTGTCGAATTGTGCTGTGCATATATAGAGAAAAAATGGCACACATAGTTTTGCATTATATCTAAGAACAAGAATGTGATAACTATGATTAAAAGAATAATTTATGTATGCCAGATTATTTCTATTGAAGAAATTATCATCATATCAGCGAACTAAATAAGTATATTTTGCCTCCATTCAGTGCTATTTTGTTAGCAATGTTGCAGGAAGATGGTGGTGACAAGGCTGTCGAAACGAGTTTGGAAATATTTTCACACAGCAGCACTGTCTGGTCCTGAGCTCTAATTCACCTCAGGAAGCTGGCTTTCACGTTCCAGAGTGGGCCAAACTCTGGCAACGACTGCGAAAGTGCCAATTTACTTTTCATCTGACGCAAGAACCAGACAAAGACACTTCTTCACAACGCAGGGGAGGCTCGGTGGCGGCAGCCAAGTCCAGCTAGCACACTGGGCGATAAATGAGCTCTTGAAAACACCTTTATTCATCAACTTTGCGCAACGTTGAACACTTAAAATGTTACTACTCATTGGTAAAAACAACATGCATTCCCATTTTATATGAAGCAAGATAAAAAGCACCAGGGAAAGGAAAACAGCAAGGTCACCAAGCAGGTCATTATGTAACATGAATGCTGAGAGTTCAGTATCACTGGACTGTGAAGACAATTAGTAGGAATCTTCCATGACACAGAATTACAATGGGAAACCACAAGACCTGCAGAGAATTCCAAAGTATTTAGGAATTTATTTGAAAAGGTTCTGGAGAAAGTTTATTTGGGCTTGATTACTCAAACACCAAATGTGCTTTAAAATACAGTTTATTTCAATTTCTTTCTTGCACAAAGGTCCCTTTATGTTTTCACCCTTAATAATTTATGAGACACCACTGATCTTAAGAATGACCTTTTTCGGCTTCCTTAACTTGATTTACAGTACTAATTCAAAAGCTCAAAGGAAATTGGATTCATTCCCATTCTTTTATCATCGTAACCTCAGTGCCATCCTGAAATCCCCACATTTTATGTAAAATATGCAAGCTTAACCACAATAGTCGCAAACTCCACACTTCAGTTTCAATGCCAAAAATATTTCTGATATTGCTCAGTTCAAAAACTTTGTCTCCCTCTTGTGGAACAACTTTCAGATGATAGAATCACAGTTTGTTTTTTTTACTGTCACATTTAATAATAATAATAATAATAATAATAATAATAATAATAATTGCTTACACTTATATAGCGCTTTTTCTGGACACTACACTCAAAGCGCTTTATAGGTAATGGGGACTCCCCTCCACCACCACCAATGTGCAGCCCCACCTGGATGATGCGACAGCAGCCATAGTGCGCCAGAACGCTCACCACACATCAGCTGTCAGTGGGGAGGAGAGCAGAGTAATGAAGCCAATTCATAGATGGGGATTATTAGGAGGCCATGATTGGTAAGAGCCAATGGGAAATTTGTCCAGGACGCCGGGGTTACACCCCTACTCTTTTCAAGAAACGCCCTGGGATTTTTAATGACCACAGAGAGTCAGGACCTCGGTTTTACGTCTCATCCGAAGGACGGCACCTGAATACAGTATAGTGTTCCCATCACTATACTGGGGCATTAGGACCCACATGGACCCCAGGGTGAGCGCCCCCTGCTGGCCCCACTAACACCTCTTCCAGCAGCAACCTTAGTTTTTCCCAGGAGGTTACATAAAAAGTAACATTTAGGTTACCTAACCTGGCTGTTTGGGATTAACTTCAGAAAGTAATCATTAAGGTCTGAATTACTCTAATTCAAACACAAACAAGGTCTTAGATGACCAATCAAATTTGATCACTATAAACAATAACTGAATATCTCAGCACTAGGGTGGCACCGTGGCATACAGTACTGGTTAGCATTGGTGCCTCATAGAGCTGGGGTCCTGGGCTTAATTCTGGACCTGTGGTGCTATCTGTGTGGAGTTTGTATGTTCTCCCCATGTTCAGGTGGGTTTCCTCCCTCAGTCCAAACACATACTGAAAGGTCAATTGGAATCTGGGAAAACCGGCCCTGGTGCTCGTGTCCGTCCACCCTGTGATTGACTGGTGTCCCATCCAGGCTGTCTCCTGCCTTACGCCCAGTGCTTGCCAGGTTAGGCTCTGGCTCCCCCACGTCCCTGTACTAGGTAAATAGGTTAGAAAATGGATGGATCTTAGCACTAAAAATAATGAACTCGAGATGTGAGGTACTTTGTGAGCTACTTAGCTCCTTGAAAGCATATTTTGTTTTAGAAAAGGCAAGGCTAGGCAAGTCAGTGAGGCTGACAAGTAATACCGACAAAAAAATCAAATGAAAATTAGAAAAAGGAATCCCTTGATGTCATCAGTCAATATTTGTGGTTTATGAAACACTAACAAAGACCAAGGGTAGGTGGAAAGAAATTTATTTTAAGTGTATTATATCTGTGAGCTATAAACAGAGGCAGAATGTGAGAAAAGCTAAGATTGTCTTAACACCTAATATATGTATCATTTTATGTTAATGTTCTGTGATAGTTTTATAGGTCAGAAATGCAGTATGGTAAATAATGCAAAGAATTTCAACAGAAAACAGAAAGGGTTTGAGTAAAGTTTGTTTTAATTAGAACATCAGGGCAGCCCCTTGCTACATCTGTAATACCAAAGTTCCGGACTAATTTTAGAAAAAAAACTTCAGTTATCATTGTAACAATTTGCCCTGGTATCTACTGTGCAGGTGGGTTAACAGCACAATGTTTACAGGGTAAGTCTGTTCTAATAATAGCACTCTCAAGTACTTCTGGAAATTGGTAAAAGTAGAAACAATTTGTTAATGTTACAAAGAGCTTTACCCCAAATAGAAAACAAGTTGAATTACACTACACCATAGTGTATCCTATGTACAGGTCCTGCAGATGTTAACTGCAGATCTTCTATAATCTGCTTTCCAAAGAGAGCAATGGAAGCACAGTCCTCCTTTGTATTCAAAATTGAATCGTGCCGAGATCACAGATCCATTGTCCATAGAGCTGAAACTTCCCATAGGGAACATAAAAATTAAGAGATTAATAATGGATTTAGCCGACTTGTTTTCTGGTCTGTTGTCCTGCTTGCTTTCACTGGGCTCTTTCTCCTCCTCTCTCTGTGCCTCTGTGTATCACCTCTCCCTCCCTGGTCTTAGCCCTCTTCTTTTAAGGGTCAGTCTGCTACCTTCATACCTGCACTCCATAGGATTCAATGCACTACAGGTGCAACTACTGACCAGATTACCTAAACAGAAACGTTTTACTGACTGCTAGAACAAAATAATTGAATGATAATTTAAATCCATCAAATAAATTATTTTTTTATGTCAAAGGAATCTTTTAGTAACTAACATTCCATTGTTATGTACAACATTCACTCTGCTACAATGAAATTGAACATTTTTTTGCTAATACTGTATATCCTTTGTCACAGGGGGACAGTGGAACTGCTAGAAAATCTAGTAAAAATATACCAGATTGGAAATATTTTAAAACTAAAAATTTTGAATATATAAAAAGTACTAGAGATGGTATTTTAAATGCATTAGTTCATGGACACCTAAATACATGAATCTATTTTGTAATGTGTTCTCGTTTGCCATTTTAGACTGTACTTTTGATCACATTGTGAAGTTCAATTTTATAAGAATTTTTCAGTCTTTGCTGGATAGGCCAGTTATTACTGTCGGTCACGAGACAAATGTACATCTTGAATCAAAATGTACTAAATGAATCACAAATGAGAGCAAGAAAATGTGAACATTTTTAAAGCACCATTAATCCATTCTCTTGTTCTCCTCTGTCTTCAGCACTGTAACCAGTAATGATCTCAGTATCTGTCTGAAGCACTAACAAGACCAAGTCTAGGGCCTTACGCCAGGCCTCCAGTTTTACTGTGACATTGTCATAGACACTCACCTTTTTTCTACTTACACCAGAATGTCCATTACTGGCAGTATTACCAACTACAAGCAATTCTGAGAAATTTGGAGCTAAAGACATCCTTTTGTTCTTTTGGCACAAGGCCTGATTTACAACAGTACAAGCTTCCAGTTTTGAGGCATAAACACCAGTGTTGTACAGCACTGTTGCAACGTATTCTTTCCATCCCTCAGCCATATGCTGCCACACCATTCCTTTGTACGAAACAGCTGTCCCTGCTGTGTGCAGTAGGCGAGAGGAGGCAGCGGTTTTGTTTTCTTCTTTAGAAGTCCTCTCTGAGTCCTGTGTTATGAGCTTTTGAAGGTGTTGGACACAAAACAGCTCAATTGCCCCAGCACCAGGAAAAAGCTTCCCATCTTGCAGGGCATGATGAAGTCGATAAGCAGAGCTCCAGAACTGGTCCTCCAATGCCTGAAGTTTGCCATTCACAGGGCTTGTAATGACTACCGTAACAAGTGCTGTCCCACTTACAGTGATGTTTATGGTCGCCATTTTAGCCACTTTACTATGACTACATTCTCTCCATAAACTGACACGTGCTCCACCACCTACACAGTGTTCATTCACATGGGTGACATAGGCCACTGGCAAAGCTCCTGTTGTTTCAGAAAAATCCTTTAATATATTGTGCTTCACTCTCTCAACTACAAGTATTTTGCATTTCAAACAGACCTCTGTAAGTCTGGCACAAGCTACACCTGTTACTAAAACCAAATTTACCTTCAATTTCAACAGACAGGTTAAAGCAGCATTTACCCACTTATCTTGCAGATTATGTCCAAGTGAATCCAGGTTTTCAGTTACATTTCTGATGTTGGGGTGTGTGCTGAACCCTACGTGTCGATACTTTTCACTCAGATCCCCATTGATGAGCACAACATTAACTGTCTGATCTTTGAAATCTTTAATTAATGAAGCCAGCTCCACAGATACAACAGTGACAAAGCCTGAAGTGGCACACGACTGGCCTTCTAACACTCCAGGAAGGACACATGTAACAAGCTTACTCACATCAAATGTTCTGGGACAACTGTCTTTTTTTCCTTTGCTCTCTGTCTGAATTCTGTTTGCCTCTAAGGCTAAATTCATTCCATAGTCACATCCATGACTCAAGACACTGCAAAGATGGGTAAAGTTAGTAATTCTCGACTGCACTTGCGGTGACCCATCTTTAGAATCTGCCTCCTTAGGACTGAAATATCTGCTATGCGTCAGCTTTATTTTTCTTTTTAGAGAAGCTGGGACCTTACCATCCTGAGTCATTAGTTTTTTTGTATGTCTGTCTTGAGTGAAAGATGACACTTCTGTATCAGAAAAAGAAGCTGGAGCAGTATTCTGTGAGTCATTCAGAAAAACTTGCTGCGAGCTGACTAAATATTGGTTAGAAGGAAAAGCAATCTGTAAATCATTTAAACTATTAATTTGCTTTTCCAGCTCACAATCGTCTACGCTGAAAATATCTTCAATGGCCACACAGCATGTCATGCAGGCTTCCGAGCATGAGTCCAGCCCTTCTGACATTGCCGATATTATATCAGTAATAGGAATCCCAGTACAAAGAAGTTCTAGCACAGCCACGCTCCACACCCCAGCTAGAAATAGCAGACACCCTGTACCCGTCTTAAACACTTTTTGATGAGCCTGTACTGTCTCGTTGAGTAGCTGTCCAACAGCGCACGTGAAATCCAAATGCTCCAGAAGTCGAAACGCTGAACAGGCTAGGGCACATTCCCCACTTCCCTGATCTTCAATAAACTTGTAGGACTTATTTGGACCCAGAAGTGTAATCCCTGTCCCTGCAAGTGCTCTGAGCTGCTGGAGTCCAATATGGCGTCCTTTACTGAGAACTTTACATCCCAACACTGGTGTCTGTAAAAAAAAAAGTATGTACAGTCTTAGAGAAACAAACATTCAAAACAGAGGAAGAACACAAAGAGTATCAAGATATCAACAGGCTTGTAATGGCAGCAATCTGACAGATTATCTTCAAAAGCTTACAAAAATAATTTTCTGATCAGTTATTTTGTCATGGTTATACAGTACTGTACAAGTCAATCCTTCATTTCTGTCTGAATATGCTTGTTTTAAAGATTTTCTGTAATCTTCCACAATTTGACATAACACCTTAAGGCATTCGATAAACACAAATATGGGGATGCCCTCCCCGCAGACAAATGGCTCTGCTGTGCTTCAGGCCTGATGTAATGAAGAGAGGCAGCCAGTTCACGGTAACCAAATGTGTACTGTATGTGGTGCCTTTTTAGCGTTACCATATTTCACAAGTGGTAAACCATATGTAAATAACAACAACACAGCAACAGTGTTTTCTGGGCTCGGTGTTAAGTTATGTGGGGGGAGGAGTGAAAGGCTGCGGGCGGAGGGAGGTTGAAAACCAAGACAGTTTCACACTTCGACTCTTCCAGTCAGGACAAAACATATCTGTGATTCTAGGAACTGAAATTATTTACATATTATTTAGAAACTGGCAGAAATCCAGTTTTTTTTCTCCATTTTAGATATTCACCTGATGGCTTTGAAAGCAACATTCAAGCCTAACGGTTTTGTCTTCGTTGAGAGGCTGCTGTGTTTACCACCTGCGGTTTGTACTCGGCATTCAGCCCTGGGCTACACTACAAACAGATGAGGGCCAAGAGCAACAGGAGATCCCAAACTAAAATCACTCTCTGGATAATGGACTGGGACAGAATATCGTAAATAGTCACTGAATCAGAAGTCTTTTTCCTCTTGAAATGAAATTGAGTGAAAGACTAGCCAAACGTAGACCAGTACAACAACGCACCTATGATGTAAATAATTGGGGATTATGGCAATTAAAGGACAGTAACGCCCACAAACCTTCCAGGTGAGGGTTGAAATCATCTTGCCGGTCGGTCATTCATTTCAAGAATGTTTTTTTTCTACCAAAAGCAAACACATAGTATGCAAAAATGTTCGGGGGGGGGGACTTTGTGTGACAGTGATGAGGTACACAAGCGCTCAAACTGCACAGGGTGGGGTCTTTTACTCTGCCTTGTCCCACACTTTTTTTTTGAACTCATGTTACAAATCCTGTCAAACGCGCTATCGAACTATTAAACTCCCAGCCTCTCTCACCCTCACCTCACCTCTCGCCTACGATCTGAACCTCACAGTGCCTTCTTTCTTACCCAAAACTTTCAGTACATGTCAAAAAGCTCACTTCCCATAATTTCTATCCCTTTATTTCATTCTGTTGATGGATGTTTTTGCACATTACCTGTTACCTTTTTGTTGTTTTGTGCACACTGCCTGTTGTCTCTGTCTTTCTTTTATTATACAATTGTATTGTTGTTGTTTTTTCTTTGTACTACTTATTGTCTGAGAGCTAGGTAAATAGCATTTCGTTATACCATATACCCATATATGAGTATAATGAGAATTAACTTGAACTTGAAATGCAACTGAAACAAGCTGGATTGAAATCTTGCCTAGGGTGCAGCTAATGCCTTGAAGTTTCTACAAAAAACCAAGAAAGGAAAAATCGGATTCTATCACAATACTTCATCATTTTACCAATACAGCGTTAGGTTTTATCAGTAACCACAGATTACTAGTGATGACAAACTGAAGAGATATTACAGTAATGGTTATCATGGTTATCGACCAAATGGAAATGCAGTATCTGACTGTTATAACAATGCACAACAGGATACTGAAGCTTATAGAATTTACCTGTAGTTAGTATTCAAATTTGCACGTGATGACAAAAGCAGTATTATCAAAAAAACTATTAGAATCTGCAAAGGAAATGCAAAAGATATTTAATCCAGAATTCAAGGCTTGCAAACACCTGACATATAACATTTAATGGAGATAAAATTACATGCTGGTAGAAAAAAAAAGCATTAGCCTAAACTGTCAACAGAAGAAAATGCTGACCTTGAAGAAAGCCAAGACAAAAAAGTATTTAAGCCAAGATAAAACGTATACTGTGATTATATAAATATATCATTTATATATTCAAGACAATGTGAAGAAGCAATACAAAAGTGAACTAAATGTTATATATGGGTAAAGGTGTACAATTTAAATTAAAGAAAGAGGTGTTGAAATTAGGCACTGAAATAATATAGCTAATTTATAATAGTCACCAAAGTACAAAAATATTTTGCTTCTTTAATTTCAGTCCAAATAAGTGCAATCTAGGTTCAAAGGAATTTTTCGGCTCTAACAGGCTAAAGAAACTACTCTTTTGACTTTTGAACAGAAAAGACCAAAAGGGGTGTACAGAACGAATGTCCCCTCTAGTTTGTAACTTCTTTATACAGTACTCTTAAGCTTTCTTCTGAGCACCTGAACTACTGTGTTCAGAAAAACATGGGCTCCAACGGATTCCCAAAACAGATTAAAACCAAGCGGATGACAACTATTCCTCTGTGGAGAAAATGATGTATTTTTTTTAAAAAAAGGAACAAACGAATCCATATTACGACAAGATTTGTTTTTAAAAATGAAGAGAATCACAAACCTTAACCGAATACGACACTTCCTCCATGTCTGTTTACACTCTTCGCCTCGCGCCAGTCATTCGTTGCGCATGCGCACTAACTTTTCCCGCAGTCGGCGCCGGCTAGCGCGCCTGTTGCTAGGATACCGAGAAAGCCAAACACAACCTAACCCCTCAGTCACTGCCCGCCTACTGCCGTTGCAGTTGGATAGAAAAGGGATTCTTCCGCCATTTTTAAAAACTCTTGTATTTTTATTGCTCAGATCCACTGTCATTTCACTGTTTCTGTTTCAGTTACGAAGCAAGGTTGCAAACGGTGTGTTTATGTGTAATTTGGAGCTGTGAGTCGGTTTGTGTCGTGGAGTCATTTTTTAAATTGTAACATCTAATACTTTTCAAAATTTAAAAATGGTAAGTTGAATGTCCGTCTTTCTTTACTCTGAATAAGTTATCACAATTCTCTTTTAGGTGTATACAGTATATGAGTATAGGTATGTGTGAGTGTGCATATAGACGAGTTGGGAAAAATGTGTTTTAAGATTTTATTTTAGATAGTTTTTATCTGTAATCCCTAAATAGTGTTGAGTAGGCAATTTTCACTTTATTCTCCAGGTACGAAAATAAAAAGAAGGAATTACACGCTAAATTATAATGAATACTCAGCTGAGAAAATAAGCGATTTTTCCACGTTTCTGATTATAGTGTGCACCAGATCTTTTCACTCTGTCTACCCCCGCGACGTTTCTAATAGTCCTAATCTTTTATTTGTTCATCCAGAGCAAATGGTAAAGTAATCCCTGGCTAGCAACAGATGGTGACCAGTTTGATGTGCAGACCACGTGATCCTAACTGCTGTAATTGACTCTTTAAGAACAATAAGAATGTTATTAAGATACTGCGTTTAATAATTCAGAATAATATTCTGCTTTGTCAGTGTTACATTCTACAATTCACAGTGCTCAGGTTTGTGATTACAAACGTAAATTGATCTAACTTTTTCGAAGTCTCCACTTTTTCGATAGTGTTAACATTTGTCTGTAGTCTCATTGTCCAGGATTTCCCGAAATCTTTTTTTGTTGGAACGTGACTTCAAGAAAGCAATGTATTAGCTGCACGTTAATTGCATAGGAGGTTAGAGACGTAAGGGACACGTTTGGGGTAATTGATTTAAGATAATGTATTATTTACACATTAACTCTGAACACAATAAATAAATCACTGTAACTGGTTACATTTTGAAATTATTCTCACCGTCCTGTTAATTTTAGGAAACGCTTCCTTACACAGGTAACTTTTAATTGTAATGCTTTATTATTTATTTGACATTTATTATATTGATTATTGTTCTAGACATATATAATTATTATTGAAGTAATTTTCCCTACACTGATCCCAGTTAGAGGATTACACAAAAGCTGGATTTCGTTTCAGCTGAACTCTTAATTGACTCAACAATAGGATTTATTTGAACTCTTATTAAAACTTTATTTGAATTGTTTTCAGTTCCTAACCATGTTCAAGTTTGTCTTTTAATTTTTGCATTTCAAAAGTAAGTTAAGAGCTCCACCTTTGAGTGAAAAAATTCTCACTGAGGTTCCAATCAAGCAACTTGATAGTTCAGATTAGATAACAGCAGGTGTGTGGGAAACCAAAACCAGGACTGAGAACCCTGTATAGGCACTACTGCTTGTACTGGGGAAAAACCTCCAGGGAGGAAACCCTTCAGGAAAACACAAAACGTTAGCTGGATGTTTGTGAGAGTGGATGGAAGCCAACAAACACCTATGAAAATTCATGAAGAACGTGCAAACTCCACACACACAGGTGCACCAAATGGAAATAGAACTGTGGACCCAGGAGGAATTCCAATCTTCATTGGAACCAACCCTGCTGGTTTCTATTCCTGATATAAAGGAACCTTTAGAATACGTTTTCTGGAAGATTGTGCTGCAGTTGAATCTGAATTAGCATAGTTTGTTTCACTTAGGAGGTTATTACACTGAGGACGGCAACAGAAGTTATTTCCCTCACACAAATTAGTAAACAATTGTAAAAAAACATTCATAGTATCTCAAATAAAACAGCATTATTGCCATGTACAAAACAGCAGGACATTTTAATTCACAATAGGTAAGTAAATAGGTGTTGGTTTTGGGTTTTCTTTGAGAATGTGAAGGTCAAGTGTTTAAAAAATACAGGAACTTCCTTGAAGTTTAGAATTTTTCATGTTAGTTTTTATTCACCTATGTGACCACTTACTGTACCACCCTGACCAATAAACACTACACATTCTTGCGGTTAAAAGTATTTCACAAGGTTCCATTATTGTTTCACTTCTAGATTTGAAACTACATTTGTATGTAAAATGTCCTTAGAAATGTATTTGTATGTATAAAGTTTTTCATCCTTATACTGAAAGTGGTATGATAATTAGTTATATTGGTCTTTTAGGCTGCAAGCTACAGAAAGCCTGGGCTTGGCTCAAACCAGCGGAAGAAAGCAGGTCCAAAACCAGACCTGACAGAAGAGCAAAAGCAGGAGATCCGAGAAGCATTCGACCTCTTTGACACTGATGGCTCAGGGACCATTGATGTTAAGGAATTGAAGGTAATCAATAAGGTGGCATAAAAAGCATACTTACCTTATCAATATTCCTTGTTGACATTTTCTATATACAGAATAGTTTGTTTTAATATATAGTATACAGTATCTAGGCAATTTCTTAAATAGGATTAGTTAAAAACCTGTATTATCGTCCACTTAAAATTTAAAAACTGTTATAACACAAAGGAGCCTGACAGTTAAATTTCTTTCAAACAAGCCTACAAGTCAACAACAGATCTCCACGTTTGTAGGCATTTTTCTGTACATCCTATTAAGTACATAAAAGGGACTTATAACAGACCATACAATAGTACAGATTACAATGAGCTGAATCAGGGTTTGCCAACCCCAGATCTTAGACTTCAGAATCTAGTTATGGAAGCCATTAATAACTCAAGCAGAAAACAGCTGGGGGTTCTGTATCTCAAAGACAAAACTGAGATTGTAAACCCATAGTCTGAAGATGGGTGCTATTGAGATTATCTTTTGCTTTGCGAAAGTAGTGGGCTTTAATTATGTTCATGATTTTTCATTCAGGTTGCTATGCGTGCTTTGGGTTTTGAACCCAAGAAAGAAGAAATAAAAAAGATGATAGCTGATATTGACAAGGAAGGCTCCGGGACTATTGATTTTAATGACTTTTTATCTATGATGACTCAGAAAATGGTAAGACTGTACAACAAACATTTTTTTCTAAAGATAACACTACAATTTATGTTTTACTTTCAAGAAAACTGATGTTTTTATAAGGTCATGCTTTCCTATTATTTTACAAAAGCACTAAATGCCTTTTCAGGTGTTTTCCACTTTTAAATTAAAATTTGAGAAAGAAATGTCTATCATAATCCTTTTTTAAGAATATGACAAAGGATTATGAATAAGAGGTCTTCTAGTCAGTATTGTTTACTGCTTCTCTTGTTTGCTAGTTGTCAATTAACCAAAAACGCCTAATTTAGAATACTTCCTAAATATCCATGTTCCTTCTTTCCCTGTTCTTCCACATCTTCTGCTATGTGTTAATGTCTGTGCCTGAATTGAACATACTGTATTCTGTTTTATGGTGTTTTGATGTTGTAGCTTAAACTAAATGATTCTGAGAGGAAGATGTGTTAGTTTAACAGAGAAACCAATAAGGGCAAAATTAAGGAACCGTCTTATCTTTTTTTATACAGAGTGAGAAGGATTCCAAAGAAGAAATTTTAAAGGCATTTCGGCTATTTGATGATGATGGTACTGGAAAAATCTCTTTTAAAAATCTTAAGAGAGTGGCAAAGGAACTTGGAGAAAATTTGACTGATGAAGAGCTACAAGTAAGTCATCACATCATTGATCAAAAATTGTATTCATCCCAAATCTGCAGAAAACCTGACTTTGAACTTGTTGCAAGAAAGCTAATACAATGTAATGGTTTCCTTTTTCTCCTGTTATGAACATTGATGGTCAGGCTACCCCATAAATACAAAACACATCTACTGTAAATTAAACTGTGGTAAAGTAGTTCAGTTGAAAGAATTTGCTATCCTGATGTGCTACAGGATTTCTATATAGAAATGTTTATTCCAGTTGTATTCCCACATGTAGTGCATGCAGATAACAGGTAGTCTATATACAGTTTACTACTGTCGCAAAATATTGGCAGTTGGATTCTGAGTAGACTCATGGAAAACATGATTCTGTGAACCAGCTAGGAAGTAAACTGTTAACTTTATCATGAATGTAAACATTTTATGCATTAGTATAATGCTGTTAATTATATTGGTTATTGGCTATTGGTTCTTTTTTATAATATGTGGCAGGCAGGATAGAGAGAGTTAAATGTCTGATTCAGTAGGTGTAGATAAGCCCTGTATAAACAGGCATTAGGGGAACTCCTATGAGCATGCTGACAATCTGCCCTTAAAGACAGTAATTCTTGTGAAGATGAACCAAGGGCCAGTAAAGGTGGAGCTCCTGAGCAGAGTTACAAGTCTCTTATTTATGTGAAGGAGCAGGTAGTTGATAGGATTTGAGAAGTTAATCTCTGGAACACGTGTTGTAAACAAAACCAAATCCCAAGTAATTAAAATATATCATTTTGAAACTGAAAGTGTAAATGTGCGCATTTTCCTAGGTTTCCTGACTACAATTTTAACACTTAAAATTCCCAAATTCCCAAACACCATGACAGAAGGAATGCTCTAGAAGAGTGTCATGTGACAAATGTATAGTGTGACTGATGTGGGGTAATAAGACTTACAGGTGTTTGAGGCAGTTATCCAGGAGCAGTTACAGTTCAAAGATATCTTGAGCTTTTCTCAAGAATTTCGCGTTGACGGATATTGAATTTTCAGAAATGAATATACATTATATGGAGACTGCTGGAGTTCACTGAGTTCAAAACATTTGTGAAATTATAAAAATGAAAAGTAAGGAAATTTACACTCAACAGTCAACCTTTTTAGGTATCTAAAATGCATAATATTTTACGTTTCTTGTGGAAATTAAGTTTGAAAAACTGCAAATGGAAAGAATGAGTCATTGTGAAGGATGTCTTAAATTGTATACAGTAGATCACACCTCAAACCAGTGAGCTCAGAATTGTTGTTAAGTGATAAAACATATATGGGTTTTACCAAAGACATTCTACTGGTTCACGAAAGGGGTATTAAGGTATGACAGTGATGTGGTAAGAGTCCTTCAGTTAAAGATGCTCATTGAGATTGATGGGAGCAGATTACTTCTGTCCGTAGAAGGTCTTGGGGTTTATCCACTACATTGCCTGGGGCAGTTAGAATCCCAGAGAAGGTTGTGAGGTTAACTTGCATTTCCAAAAGAATGTGTTAAATGGAATACTGATATTTTTCAGAAATATGAAGGGAAATAAAGGGGCATACAGGTATATGATTGACATGGTACACAACGTTTTTTATTGTTTTCTAATCAGTGTAATCAGTGGACTGTGGTACTACAGGGTAAAATGTCATAACATGCTATCTTATCATATTTATAATATTCTCAGTGTCAACATTTTTTTTAGGCAACACTCAAGACTTGACACTTTTTTCTTGAGTAGCCTAGTTACATTTATTTTACCGAGTATTGCTTTTAATTCTTTCAAGTTTCAAGATGAATTCTCTGATGTTATCTGCTATCTCCTCTCGCTTCAAGCTGCCACTCTCCAACAGGAGAAAAACAAAATTTCTGCCCACACAGACCTTTTTGGCCAAGGAGATACAAATCTTTACTTCTTTCTTTTGTACTTTATGGTTATTTCCAGTTTTTTATCGGTGATATAATTCTGGTGGTCATGAATATTTTATTATTTCCTTTAAAATAAAGAGAAGTAGGCCTTATGCTGGTAGGAGTATTCAAATATTTGTCCTAGCACACTGTTTAATTGGTATTTACATGTATTATTATTTATGGTGTTTGTTCTTAGAACAGAAAAATAACATTTGCATCAAGTATATTAGTTCTGAAGGAAACTAAAGCAATTAAGGTCAGTATTACTTATTCTAACTTTCCAGTGCAGCAGGGATATAGGTCACTGGTTTGTGTGTGTGGAATACTATTTCTTTTCTTTTATTGACCCTTATGTAAGAACAAGGCTGGGTTTTATGTATAAAGTTTTAAAAATGTCTCCTGCAGTTGACTAATGACACACTGTAATGAAAAATACAACTGAGGGAATGTTGTAGTAACTCATTTCAAAGTGTATATCCTATGTTTAGCGTAATAAAACAGTCACAGTTTGTTGGACATTGTGCTTGATTATTGTAAACTAAATCTGTAATTGTTTCTAAATGCAATTCAATTTTGTGTGCTACAGGAAATGATTGATGAAGCTGACCGTGACGGGGATGGAGAGATCAATGAGCAAGAGTTTTTAAGGATCATGAAGAAGACCAGCCTGTATTGACCAAATAAATTACAATTTATAAAAAACAATCACTTTTTTATAGCTAAATATTTTAAAATTTTTGTTGATAGAATTGAACTTGCATTTTTAGAAAATGTTAGGGTTTATGGGTATACATTTTTGTAAACTTTAAAATATATTTTATATGGTATGGGATGTGCTTGAAAATTTAAATGACAGAAAATATAAAATGTTTGAAAACTTTTCATATGCTGAAGAATATATTATTCAGTGACTAATGTGGACAAGAAACAGTAATGTTCAATGTATATCGAGATGAAGCTAAACACCTCTTCCACGTTTTTAAGTACGTAAAAGCTGCATAAATGATTTTGTAACATTTTCACACATTGAAACACTTAAAACCATAGGGATTGAGAAAATATAATAATTGATGTATCTTATTAGAGTTATTAAATACTAAAGCTATGTAAAGATAGCAGAGTATAGGGGAAATCTGTCACATTAGTCCTCCAGTTGTAACCTTATTTAGGCTGCATCCTGCCTGTTGTTTGTAACCTGGTTTTAATTGAAAACTCTGTGACTGCATGCCTTCTTAACCTGGTCATACCATGATATGGAGTAGCAGTGGAAACCCCCACCTGGTTGATTCCGTTTCGCCAGGGCTGCTCCTTAACGGTCCTCCTTTTTCCTAGTGTCCCGACGCGGAAAGCAACCAAGGCTGCTACTCTGGTGAGGGGTTCCCCTGCTTTCAGTAACCTAAGCCAACTGGGTCTAAGAGATAGGAGTGAGATGCCTACTAAATGTCTGTCCCCGAGACTGAGCTTCTTCAGCTACCTGAGGCTGAGCTACTAGAGCAACCACAAACAGATGCCTCACCACAAGATGTCTGTTGCTCATATAGCCTTGTACTCTTCCTAGACCAGGTTGTCGGTCACATTGCTTAGTTCCCTCTGGGAATTTGATGGAAACTGCCCAGTGCCAGTGACGACCTAGCTCTCTGTAAGCTGACCTCAGGAGACTCCCCCAAGTGGACCAGGACTGTTCTCTTACTACAGCCTAATATAGGTTGTCACTTCACCTCGTGCAAAGCCTTTCTCTGTGTATTTGATGTGTCTCACTATCGCCCTCTGGTGACTAAAGACCTGAACTGACGCTCCAGGTCCAGTTGCCCTCTTATGGTATAGTTGCATTCAAGGCCCCTCAGGACAATTCTGGATCACCCAGATGGCATCTTGTACCTCCAGCAACCTTTTTTACTGTATCTCTTGCAGTAAATGCTCAGCCATCTACATTGGAGAAACAGGAAGGAGACGGAGACCGCTTCAGAGGACATGTTAGGCTGTGAAGATTCAGGGTCTCTCTAAGCCCATTGTTTCCCATTTCACCTCTGACGGCCATAACCACTCTAATCTCTCCGTCTGTTTTCTCAAAGATGGTTTTCCGAATTTATACATCAGAAAGACTACAGAAACCAAAATTATCCTGCAGCTAAGATTACACCTTCCCCCTTCTCTTAACGACAGACTACTATTCTTCTAAATTTTCTCCATTCATTGGAGTTTCATTTCACACCTCTCTACACCTACTCTGACTTCACACTTCTTTATTGGCCTCTCTTTCTCTCCCCTGCTCCCGCCCCTCGCTCCTCCTCTCTACCAGCCTTTGTTCTTCCGCTACATTACCTTTGCTTACTGCCTTGTCTCCCTCACACCTGAAGAAGGCTCCATGGCCAAAACGTTGTGTTTTCTTTCTTCTCTTTTTTTCAGCATGGAATAAACCTATTACTTGTTCCTCTTATGGTATAGTATGGTAAAATGAAGAAAAATCTACATTAAAAATGTTGATTTTTTTTCCCCCCTAAGCCTTGTATGTGGTCAAACAAGTAGAGGATTCAGCTGTGATGCCTCATGGGTGCAGCCAAAAAATAGTATGTCTTCTTCATTTCAGTGGGAATTTAGGAGTAAATTCCCACTGAAATATGTGGGGTAATATGTTAAATCTGTGACATAGGGGTGTTATCCCGGCCAAATCTCCCTTTGGCCTTTATCAATCTTGACCTCCTAAAAATCCCCGTCTGTGAATTGGCTTCATTTCTTTCTTCTCTTCCCCCACTTATAGCTGATGTGGGGTGAGCGTACTGCAGAACTATGGCTGCTGTTGCATCATCCAGGTGGACGCTGCACATTGGTGGTGGAGGGGAGTCCCCATTACATGTAATGCGCTTTAAGTGGATAGTCCAAAAAAGCGCTATAGAAGTGCAAGAAATTATTATTGAAAGATAACATTGGATACACACAAGAGCAGGTTGCGTAGCCCATCTAGCTTGTTTGATTTTTTGATTGCTACAACAGCATAGGTTCTTTTAAATGCACTTTTGTGGTTTCCTTTGGGATTGTCTGGTTCTTACTCATTGATGATTCTTGACAAATCCAGAGGATTATCTTTGCCTTTGAGAATTTGGATTACTTGAACCAGGTTCCTTTGTTGTTTTCTCTGTACAAAAGTAAGATTCAGCGCTTTATGCTTTTCAATGTAAGACATTTAGGTAGGAATGTATCTGGTCCCAGTTTTCTGGACTGATTCCAGAGCAGCAATATCAAAACTGTACCAAATATGTTAAATGCAGTTTAATTAGTTCATTGTAGACTTTTAGCATGCATTGATTTAAGTGCAGAACCCCCTTTAGCAGCAGTGATTTGAATAAAAAGAATGGATCACACTCTTGCCTTGCCTGGGAGGACTCCTGGCACACTCTTCCTTACAGACCTGCTACAGAACGCTTGAAGGCTTTCCAGTGTGCACAGTTCTCTTTAGGTCCTGCCACAGCATGTCTGTGCGGTTTAGCTCTGCACTTTGGTTTGGCTATTCTAGAATCCTGAATTTCTTCTTTTTTGAGCCATTCTATCACGGGTTTGCTTGTGTGTTTTGGACCATTGTCCTGATGCATTGTCCACTTTCAGTTCAACTTTAGCTATCATACAGATGCTCTTTTATTTTCCACTAGAATGCTCTGGTATGGTGTGGAATTGATGGTAGACTCAGAGGTAGCAAGGTGCACAGGTCCAGACCCAGAGCAGGTCCAAACCATCACCTCCTCATTCAGGTGCTGTTTTGCAAATGTAAGCTGTTTTGCACTGATTAATTACAGTGTTGGTAAAGAATATACAAATAACATAACATTTACAGTAGAATTATTATTGGACATGTGAGGTGAGGACTAGATAAGGGTCAAATATGTTAAACCATAATATCTTATGGAAGTGAACCACCTAAAGCCGGGGAGGTAATGAATTGCCTCCAGGTCATCCAGGTCTCCTGTAAATTAGTTTAGTTTGTGACACTAACTAATGTGTCCAGATAAATAGGATAATTTTCAAGTGTGATAATAAAATAACAAGTGGGGATAACAGGGCCAAGCGTGTGGCACTATTACTGAATATACTGTGACAATAAGGTCCCACAGTGTTCTGTTTATCAGGCAAAATTATAATTGTACAAGTGAAAGTTAACTTCATGTTGAAAGGCAGAAAGAAATAACAAATAAATAAAGTGAAATAATAAATGTTTCAGCTGTTGACCTTTCTTCAGGTGAGTGAAAGGGTAAGGTGGCGGGAATATAATGCACAACAGTATAAAGGATAGAGTTGGTGGGAATGGGCACACAGATGAGAAAGAGTGTCTACATGAATGGAGATGTGGAGTGATGTGAAAAACTGAAGTATGTAAATGAATGACGAGGATTTAAAAATATTTATTTCATAGCGAGAAGGAAATCTCCGGATCGACCAGAAAAACTGAGAGCTTCATTTTCTAACTCGGCTCCCACTTCGCCACCATGCTCCAATACAGTGGACGCATTACTGCAGCCGCTGCACCCATCCACTGGTCAATCCTACAAGCGCTTCTGCTCTACCCCTTGGTGCACCCTTGGCAGTCAGACTCTCAACTTGAATGGGCACCCCATACTCTCCCAGCAAGTCCACAACTCATGGGTATAAGAGAAGGAGTGAATGATATTACTCTATACACATGATGATCTCTGGGTAATTGTGTAGATGGCCCAAGAGTCTATGTACAGTATATAATGTGGTGCTAGATACATATGCATATGTGAAGCAGCAGCTTCTTTCACAGCAAAAGCTGCCTGGTGTGGATGGTAGTCATTAATGTATTGCTATTGAAAGAGAATGTGTTAAGTGTGAGAACCAATTCAGCTTTTAACACAAGAGTACGGGTATGAGGATCTAGCACTACACATTTGTTACATTTGTGCTTCAGGACTTGTGAGGACTTGTGAGATCACAGTCATAGGGAATGACAGTGTAAAGTGATGTGCTTTGTAAAAATGAAATATTCTAGACTGTGAAAGTCTAGAATACTGTGTTCTTTGTTTATGTAGGAAGTGCTTCAACCAGTGGTCTCATTAGGCTGTCAAGAAAGTGTTTGTTGGGACAGTTGCATGCCGAGACATTCCTTTTCATCAGAGCACATTTCTTGAATGACGCCCCTTAATCAATAGCTGGCAACAACCCAATAACTGATATCATTAATAAAATTAATCCCAAATCTTAAATCTGTCCTTAAGCTTCATTACTTTGTGCTCCAGATTTTTCAATTTAGCTGTCTTAGCTGAAGGGAGAAGGAAGGAAGACAGAAGGAAGGAATCATCTTCATCATCAAAGGTAGAGGAGAAGATTGTACCACGAGAGTTCTCTTCTTTCATTGTCATTGTAAACACCAAAATACAATAAACAATGGCTCTTATACAGATCCTTGTTGTATCCACTACTCTTAATACATTACTCTTAATACTAAAATGATTGCAACATTAAAGTCAATGATTGTGAGTGGCCATTTGCTTTTAAACATTTTAGTACAACCTTATTCTTTTGAAACTTGAAGCAGTTAGTTATCTACTCAGTTTCAAATGATTAATATTACTGGTTCCCAAACATGATTTGAAAGGCTTTTTTAAAGACGTATATCAGTCAGCCTTGGTTTATATAGGAGTACATTTTTTATAATCCTGAAAGCTATTTCCCAGGGACAGTAAATCCAAAATAAT